ATTAACAATGTGTGTAATTAAGTTGGACTTACAGTATGTTCTGCTGTTTTTTAAGCCACTCATAACATTGCAATATCTTTGTATTTGAACTGATGTTTTGGTTTCCTGTACCTTAGTTGAGCCTCCACATTGTTCCATTCTTTTAAATTCTATGCATGCATCATCACTGTAGACCTGCTCACTGTCTTTTGGCTTTCTCCCGCCATCAACTGTCTCCACTTGTTTCCATCTTCCTGTAGGTATTTATATCTCCCCAAAGCATCTTGTGTCTCTTCTTCTTTGTTTTACCTCTTGCTCGTGCTCAACCTCTGTTTTTATCGACTCTTTATGTATTTGTTTTTTAACTTAATCCGTTGGAGCCATAATCTTCTTGAATACCTCAATTTTCTTTTCAATTTAACTGGTCAACTGATTATTTTCAAACAACTTTTAGTCTCATTTGTTAGATTTTTATTGTTGCTTTTTCCTCAATGTCCTTTGAACTGTGGTAAACTAATTTTGCTTGATGCTTCCTGGATCTCATGCATTCGTTGAGAAACGTTTATCTTTATAATGATACCTAACTACGTTGCTTTAATTGATTGGAATACATAAAAAATACATTTGAATATAGGTCTCCAAGAAATTATTTTCCTTTTTGCATGTATTTTTAATACAACAAATTGGTAGAACCAACTGATTTAAATGTCCTGTATTTTACTATATCTTCCTAATCCGTTTTATCCACTACAATTGAATTTCAATGGATTTATGAATCCATCATATTTAATATATGTCAATTTAATATCAAATGCTTGTATGAAAATAAGTGAAAATCACCTCACAAAATGTATTATTGTTGCACATGTGTACATGGTGAAGGTGGGACATCAGCAGAGGGAAAGAGTGAGAACACCCAGCAGCTGTATATTTCACATTAAGTTGCCCAACACACTCAACGCTGGTGGAATTTCATCTTATTTTTGCAATCATTGATTCTTGGTGGCAGCAGAAAAATTTGGTTTCTGGCTTTTTTCCGTTGATATGGTAGAAATATGAACAAAACGTTGACTGTTACTCACCCAGCAGACACACAACAGCACTTCTATTTATTAGTAGTTGTGTCTATTAAAAATCACTAGTAATCACTTATAAGCTCCGGTTTTGGTCTCTACAAACTCCCGAGGGACATTTCTGTCTCTCCAGCTACGATCACCGGCTCGTTGCTTCCTGTGTCCGTCTGCTGTTCGGTGCCAAGCTCTTAATTTGAAAACACTGCTGCCACTCAAAATTAAATTTTGAGAGCGGTGAACTAAAACAATTAGCGTTATTTAGTTTAGAGCAACTCCAAAGATACATCGCTCATTGGATAATATCTCAATCTGTTTGATTTAGTACAATTCAGGTATTTTGGTTTTGAATGGCCAAACTTTGGATAAACATTATTTAAATACTCGATCTCAGAACAGAATTTGATCTTTGATATGATAAACTGTTTATTCATCAACAGTGTATTTATTAAAGTACTGGAGATAAAACAAATGATACAACTTAATGTGTTTAGATTATAACAAAATACGCAATAAAGAGTTTTGTCTCTGTGGCGACAATTAACAGTTCCAACTCTGCACCTTCGACAGATACAACTGTACAAATACAGTACGTGTAGTTATCTGGTCTTTTGTTTCCTATGACAGTTCCATGCAGGGTGAACGGACTCATGGGTGTTCTGCACAAAGTGAGTGGGTGACATTTAGAGGATTAGAGAGCCACAGATGAGGTACTGATGGATCGTCTTGGCTCCGACTCTGCCTCTCTTATTTCTGTCTGAAGGAGAGTCTCGAAACACCAGTCAGCCTCCAGCTGGCCCACACACTCCCAAGTACACATTCATAAATTATCTCTCTGTGTCACAGCTCCCTCCGACCCCCGTGACCCGAACAGTTCATATGACAGAGACCATGTGGTCTGGATGCAAAATATGTAATCAGATCATCATTTCAAGGCAGACCGGCTGATCATTGACCATTACCAGAGGCCTGCGCCTATTGGCTGCTATTCTACTGACTAGTCACGACCCGACCTCTGGTCTGATGACCACAGCGACCAGGCCGGCATCAACAAACACTTCAGAGAGAACGTAAAAGATGCAAAAGTGTATTCCTCAACAGTCTGATCCTCCTAACTACTGAATATACATAATACAGTCGGGAAAAAGGTCAAGTTTACAATAAAATGCATGTAAATTCTATTTTGATATAAAAAGTAGAGAACGTATTAATGGGTTGAGAAAGAACCGGGTAAGATTAAAGATATTTTCTAAAATCGCTACAGCCAATACGTGTACAACACTCGGCAGTTGTTAAACAGATCGCGCCTGTGTAAAGCGTTCACGTCATCTCACTGTGTAGGTCCTCAGACCGGTATCCCTGCATTTTAACCTTTAACCTGCGCTCAATTCTTTGGGACCAACCCCTTAGGATTCACTTGGTTGTGAGGGTGGATCGATTCCACCCGCCTGACTATTCATTCCACGCTTTACCAACCATGTGATCTGTTCCAAAATACACACACATACTTGAAATTTGTGCGTGCATGACTGAGCGCTAAAACCCGTTGGAAGAAGAAATGTTGTGCGCAGACTTTGAAAGGAAAGTAGAGTTTAATATCATAAGCCCTGTGATGCACCTGATGCCCTGATAGCTGTTTTAGCTGCAGGTTGGGACGTTCAGCGTGAACTTATGTGATGGATGAGTGAGTTTGTGACGTAGACATAGAGAGCGATAGAAACTTAAACAGTTTTTTTTTTTCCGCCATGTGAAACCACAGAGCAGCATGTCATGAACAGAAAATACATGTGACCTATTTACAGTTCTCCTTGTGTGTGTGTGTGTGTGTGTGTGTGTGTGTGTGTGTGTGTGTGTGTGTGCACATGTGCATGCTCTATGTGAGGGGCCATCCCTTGTAAAAGCGCGTGGTTTCTTCACAGGATATGGCTTTCTGGTGAAAAAGACAGAGAGAGGAAGCACTCTAAAGAAAACTGCTCTACTTTCTCTCTCCTTCCATCTCTAACTCCATTCTTTCATTCCTCAAGACAAACGCATCATGTTCAGGATGATTTATTTTTTTGAACGAGAAAGTTATATGCTTTGCTCGTCTGTCTTCGCTTGGCTGGTCACTCAACAAGCACATTGATGGAACAACTTTCCATGGAGCAGTTACTTTGCAAAGAAAGAAAGTTGCAAACTAAGTGTGACTTCTGTAGATCAATATATTGGCAAACTGCCTTCTTTGGGATAGAATCCAGCAATCTTTACAGCAAGTGTGTGATATCAACTGCAAAATGTTTTTTGCAACTGCATAAACCAAAAATAAAATTTCTTCTTAAGGAGAGTGACAGGCACTTCAATACGGCCCATAAAATACTGGATCCAATACACAAAGCCTAAAGGCCCCGGTACTGGCGTTGATACTCGGCGTACGTGATGAGGCGCTCAGTTGACTCGTGTGGACGGTGTCAGGAGGAGTCTGTAAATACAGGTCGCCGGCAGCTTGTGCAGAGTCCTCCTCGTGCTGCCGGGCCTGTCGGACGGCTCCACATCGAGGGACAGCTTCGCCACAGCTCTTTCATATTTAACTGTTCTGTTAAATTATTCTGGCTCACTGCCGTGTTGTGCCACCATGAATTGGGCCTCGGAGTTTGCGAGCGTCTCTTTGTGCGTGTGCACAGGACAGGGACGAGGCGGGAGAGCGATGTGGCAGTTGTGCCCGAGTTTGCCACGAACACTGGACGCCTTTGGGACAGCAGAGCTGTAGCAACAGAATGAATTAATGAACAGGATGAGAATGCTACGTTTAACACCGGGTGCCAGCAGCCGCACACACACACGCACACACACACACACACATACATGCACACACACAAACACACGTGTGCACACACAGCACAGGTTTAAGCCAGCGGGTGATTTTGGTATCCTGGTAGTGCAGGTTGGGCCAGCATTATGCTGACCATAATGCTGTGAGTTTCAGTGTTCAACCCCCTGTGGACGAATCTAATCTGAGCCGTTTCTTATAATTCATTTTTGTTCCTCTCAGATAATTGATATTGATTTTCATTTAGAAAGAATGATCTGAACCCTCTGGTTATAAAAATTGGATTATGAAACATGTTTTATGAGCTACACGTGACTGTGGATAGTGATTTAAAAAGGACCTATTATAGTTCGACCATAGTAGCTCAAGTTGAAATAAAAAACGTTTCAGTGTTTCAGCTATAACTAAAAATGAATTCTGCATCTGATTTTTGGATGCACCAGCAATTTCTCTTGTGGGCACACGCTGACTACGCATACGCCATTGATACAAAGATGTTACATGATAACTCGATAATTTGACATGGCGGGAATCAGCGCACAGTACATGTGTCTGTGCCTTCAGTGTCTGAGTTATATCTCAATATATTCAGAAAACGGTCTGTAGTGCCCCCCTCAGGAAAAGACAGAAAAACATCTGGGATTCAGAAGGACATTAAGGGATTTTTAATAATTATATAGAACAATCTAAATGTAGTATTTTCTGGCTCAAACAACCTGCATTAAGAAGTTGACTAAATGTTTTTTAGAGAATGATCAAACTAAAAGTGTTATACTTTGAATCTATGCAGCTCTATACTTTCTATCAATCGTCAACTGATTGCTACAGTCAATTATCCTAGAGACCCCAGATTTATATGGAGATTGATGTAGAGAATAAACTAAAAGTCTGTATGTACCATTGAATATTTAGGTCACCATGCAAGACGTAATTCCTGATTCCCTGCATCTTGGGAGAACTTCCGGTATCAGGGACACTAAGAAGACTGGATACGTTTCACAAACAATTATTCAAACCATTATTCCGCTTTGTAATTATTTAGCACGGCAGGAAAAAAAGGCTTCAGCAGAGGTGTGAGGACCCCGAGGCAGCTGGAGGCTGCTCCCTCAAGACGTAAAAAAAATAACACCTTGATCCAGTCGAAACTCGTTTAGAAGCAGATGGTTTAATGTATGTGTGGTGAAAAAGGTTTAGGAAACAAGGAGGCACCCTCATCAAATGATATATTTAACACTATTTAAAAGATTATACAATTGCGTTATAGGTGACTTATGATTGGAAATACTAAAAGGGGAATTAAGAGGTAAATTTAATTTTGGTGAAATATGTTGAGGGTAACTTTAATGTGTTGAAGCCCGCTAAGCATTTGGTGACATGTCAATCACACTGAAAACGAACACAACGTTTCATCAGTTATCTCAATAATCCTCCGTGGCATTGCTTCAGCATTGAAACAGTGAGAATGTAAACACTTGTACTAACATTTTTTTTTTTTTTGGGGAACATAATTTTTCATTTAAACACAAAACTATGTATGCATGTAAATCGCAAGACTTTTTTTTCTTCTTTTTTAATTGTACAATATTACAATTACATTTGTACAAATGCTGTTATGAAAAAAAAAAAAAAAATGAAATTCCAGCTGCAAAGGACAACCGTTTGCTGGGACAGAAAAACAATAATGTCCTTGTGTACTGCACTACACCAGGCAGCAGTGGCAGGAACACGCTGCTCGGAGTGGGAGCCACCAACACACGACAAGTGGTGGGCTTGCATGGCTTCCTCCCGTTCCCCCCTTCAGATGTTAAAACCAAAGGAAGCGCAGAAGCAACAAGTTGGATACCAACATCTGTGCAGATGAAGATCATGTACTGAATCGGTTGCATACGAAAAATTTAAATCAAGTTGTTTGTTGTAGTGATGCAGAAGGGAACCAGGGGAGTAAGGTGGTTGTTGATGTTGTTCATTTGTCGTTTGGTCCAGGTCCAATGTGTTACGAAGCCAAGCCGCAGGGTCAGAGGTCATCAGGCAGAGTTTAGGAGCGCGTGTATTTCCCCCAGATGTGCAGCATGAAGACCGAAGCGATGAAGAGCAAACTCATCACCAGCACCGGAACCGGGCCGCTGTCACAGCAAAGACAAATTGATCAACACTCCGATTAACACCCAAGGACATACAAAATGCCATCATTTGCTCAAACTATAACAACTGCGAGAGTCTTAGTGTAGTGGCTGGTTTTATTGATGAGCTTAGGAAACAAGGAGGCACCCTCATCTCTGAAGGAGGGACTGAGTGGGGGGGTAGGGTGGAGGGGTTCAGCGCTAAGTAGCAGCATTGCCATGCCAACCATCTCCACAGCGACCCCCTCCTCTCCCTGTCAGAAGGCTGTAATTGAGTTGACCTTTCAGAGTGCATCCTTTAATGAAGCTTTGAGGACAGCGTCTAACGCAGGAACAAACACACACACTCGATACACAGAACTGAATGGCGAGTCTGCCCTCCTTCGACTGCTGCAGAGGCACTCAATAACCACCACAGCACCATCGATCAACCATAGCCGGCTACGGCCACGGGACCCAACGCCGTCTCTTAATATTCAGTGCGAGGATGCAGTGGGATAAAAGTTCATGAGGGTGAGTTTTAGAAAAGTGCGCTTTCCAACCCCCCACACCCACACACTGTAAAGATTATTTGTTTGACCACAAAGGCACGTCTTTCCAATTTCCCGTCAATAAACATTGCTCCCATTCCACCTGATGAAAATGTATTACACTAATAACATGAAGTCTCGGAAGCCCTGAGAATTAGTACGTGTTTGGAAGTTGGAAATGTCAGTGGCTAGATTTGTTTGATCGTGTTTAAGTCCTCGTGTTCTGCTTTCATGAACTGCACTTACACTTTGAGGCCTGGCGAGTCTTCTGTGTAGAAGCGCCACATGCCACCTGTACCTGCAGATCCCGTGGTCCTGCCAGCACTGCGTGTACCGCTGCTGGTAGCTTTTCTGTAGAACACAATAACAGAGACAACCCAAGTCAAGAATATTTCAACACTGCCATGTGTTTACGGGATACATGAATCAGATTTGAAATAAACAAACAATTATGGGAAGATCTAAACTTTTACTCATCCTGCAGTCTCTTAAAAACAAATCATTAAAATATAGAAAATATTTGCCATTAAACACTGTATCCACAGTGTAACAAACTATAATAGCTGGCGATGAAAGAGCGCAGTGATTCATGGCTGCTTCACTCGTGCGATGAGATTAAACAGAGGTTAATGAGGTAATGAAGAGGGCGATAGTAATGGGTAATAATGAGAAGTAACAGTGAGCTTCTGATTACACGCTGATTAAGCCCACAGCACAGCATCCATCTGCTGCTCTAATCGACACAGGGCACACAAAAATAAAGGGAAAGGGGCTCTGAAAATCATCAATCACTCCATAGAGCATCATGACATCAGCAGGCGGGTCAACACTCGAGGTATTTGGCAAATAAGAGAATGTGTGCATGCGAGATGAACAGAATTTGTATCTCACGTTTAATGAAAAAGCAAACGTCTCGAACAAAAACATCAAAATGATTTGGTCTTGATAAGACCGACCTTGAGATGCCAACAGCTTAAATGCATCATGCATTCTACAAGTCTTTGAACTCTACTTGAGCGATGAACTAAAGTGTCCAAAAAGACAGATGTATACGCAGTAATGGAGCACTTCCCCCCCATCTTTCTTAAGGATAAAGAGTAGAGTTAGTGTGTGTGTGTGTGTGTGTGTGTGTGTGTACCTCTGTCTGACTGTGGAGCCTGCTGCACGGGGGGCCACCGTCTTACTTGGGGATCGGCTGGATGCCCCAACATTAGTTGCACTTGCTGCTGGTCCAGGCTGAGGGGAAGACACCAGAATGAATATACATTCATAGTATTCAACTCCAACATACTCACATGCTGCCGGTCACTTCCACACACACATTCACACATTTCTGACAACAACAAAAAATAAAGAAATGAACGCTTTTCAATAAAGAGATCTAACCTTAACAAGGATTCCTGATAATCTTATTTACGTTTTGATTCTTACATGTACAGTGTGTTAGAAGGCACAGACTAATGGCGAAGGCCTTCCCTACTATGCTGTTCATGGAATTCAACTCCTAAATTGTCTCCCGAGCAAATATATAACGTTAGTTATAATTCATAGATGGAGATCTGGGCCATCGTAAAATAAGCGTTTGGGACTGTGGAGTGGTTTCAAAAAGAGCCACGTCCACAAATGATGAGCTGACATTAGAAAGTTACGTTAGCTAACAGATAGCAAAACGCTGGCATACGTCTCTCCCGTTGAATGGGCGCAATGGAGCCGGTAAGATAGCGGTTTAAAATGGAGCTCAGTATCTTACCATTTTGTATTATTTTTTCCTGATGCGAGGTGAAACTTAGAACCTTTCTTTCTTCAAGCCGATGTCCACGTCAAATGAACAGCAGACAATCCGTGTGTATTTGGTAAAAACTTGAGAAGAGACCCCACAAAGCTGACGCTTGTCTAAAAAGGACACGACTGCAAAATGCAAGACCAGCGCGGGAGACCTAGCAGAAGCCTGACCAGCCGATCGCATTTACCACAAAATAAATACACCATAAATATTATAACACATATTTTAGGAGCTGTCTTTGGACCGGTTTGATTAAAGTTACTCTTTAAATCCAAATGTATCTTCAGTAGATTGAATTTAGCGGTGTACTTGTATTTTAATCGAATGGCATATTTATGGGCTCCTATGATCCTGAAAGCAACGTGTCTCACAGGAAGCGCGTCTCGTTACGTTGAGGAAACAGACGCCATTGTTGCTCAAAGTAAGACCGCAAATAGCGCTGATCAGAATTGATGATTTGAGCCAACATGGCGTCCGCACTATAGAGTTTCCTGACAGTTCAAGAGGTAATGGTGCATATAGACGAGCACAATCATAGGTAGCCGAACCTAAACACGGTGGTTGAGAGATCGCAAGGTAAATACAACTGCTTTTTAATTAACGTTAGGTGGGGCGGAGATATAACGTAGTTGTGTTCATTTACAAAGACGACTGCTCACCAAGTTAGTGTTCTTAAACGGGTTATAATTTCAAAAGCTAACGTTACCTAGGCTAGCAAGCTCAATCGCATCACTTTAACAGTTAACTTACATGAGCTGTAAATACTTTTGAGAACTTTTGTTTTAGGAACTTGAGTCAATATTCTGCCAGCTAGAGGTTTCCCTTTTAGTGAGCTAATATGGCACACTACACAACTTTGGGACATTATGCCACAATAGTTGCCAGAACGTTATATTTGACATGAATTGACTTCTAGGATAACAGTTAAAATGTTATCAACCATAATGGAAAAAATACAGTATATATAAATATATTATGCATTTCTGAATAGTTTTTCTTGGTGTAGGAGAGAGGATTAATAAATATCTGGTTTGCTATTATTAATATTAACAAATGGTTAAATCTATTGTTGATTTACTTTGCATTGTTTTCTTGCCTTACTCATCAGATCAGTTTACCTCATTGTACATCACGCCAAGTTTTCTATATACATGTAAACACACTGTGTGTAAATTCCTTCAGATGTTTTTTCCTGCAATTTAAACTCAGGAAAACAGCTGTTTTTTTTGTATATTCCAGATTCGATTCCAGATTCAATTTGAACTTTAATCACTCTTTTGTGCAGGATGGCGCGGGTGGTGTTTCTCCATCCAGACCTTGGTATCGGTGGAGCAGAGAGACTGGTGGTAGATGCCGCCGTCGCTCTGAAGAGTCAGGGATGTAGTGTGCAGATTTGGACGGCCCATTACGACCCAACACACTGCTTCTCTGAGACCCTGGACCCGGAGCTGCCTGTAGTACGTTAACACACACCTCACAAACCACCGTCCCTCAAAGAAACACAACAAAGACAGAGTACATGTCAAATTCCGATGATGACACTTCTTTTTTCGATGTTTCAATAACTCTTCCAATAGGTGTGCGTGGGTGACTGGCTACCCACCAGTGTGTTTGGTTACCTGCACGCTCTGTGTGCCTACCTGAGGATGATCTATGTGGCCCTCTACCTGGTCTTCCTCAGTGGGGTAGAGTACGACGTCGTCTTCTGTGACCAAGTGAGTCCTATCCTAGAGAAACTATTGGTCTGCATGGGCGTCACTCATTGAGTCTGTCTGTCAACGTTTATCTATGATATATATGATATGTTTAGTATTTTCTTGCTTGTCTATATCCTTATTATTAGGAAAGGATTAGTTTACACCCTTTTTCGTTTCACCCAGGTGTCAGTGTGTATCCCGGTGCTGCGGTTGTCCCGTCTCAGGAAGAAGGTTTTGTTTTACTGTCACTTTCCAGACCAGCTACTGACTCAGAGGAAGTCAACCCTGAAGAAGCTTTATCGCGCTCCCATTGACTGGCTGGAGGAACGCACCACTGGCATGGCTGATATGGTGCATCACAGCTGAGGCTTGAAGGCTGTAACATTTATTGCTCAATGTCTGAAAATAGCCAGCGTGTCCAATTGGGGGGTTTTAGGCTTAAGAAGAGACAAGGGCCATAATGATGCATGTCTTAAAAGAATATTCTCAATCCACTTAGTAAACTAAAAGGATGATCCATCCATTTTTATCTTTAGCCGGTTATTCTGTTAAGGGTCACGAGGTGTCTGGAGCTGATCCGAGCGGACATTAGGCCAAGGCAACCTGGACGAGTCGCCAGACTATCGCAGGGACTAGTAGGATGATAAGATTTAGTTGCTCAATTTGATTTTGGATCGGTTTTGCATTTTGCTCATTGCAGACAGGAAAATTATTTCTGAGCAGTAATAAGGTTACAAATCATTTTTAGTGTAAGTTTATTCTGATGGGGGAAAAAAGATCTTTATGTTCACTTATAGAAATAATAAACTGGAAGTTCTCCAAACTAAAGACTAGAAAACCGAGTCAGTTTGCTCAGAATTACTTTAATTTCACCCGGATGTTGTTTAACAGGTCAAGAGAGGTGAGGTGTCTCCTCTTGACTAATTTGGTACTTGATTACTGCTAAAACTATAGCGTAATATAATAATTACAAAATAATCTAAAACGTAAACGGGTCTGATCTCCGTGAGCACGCTGTTTTAAGAGCTCAGGGCCCTTACAGAAAATAACCTGACATTTCCATTATAGTCTAGACTTCAGAATATTCAAAGACTGCAGGCTTCCACCAACTTCATAGGGAATTAAAATGCATGTGATATATGTGAGATTGTCATGAACTAATCTCTCTGTACTACTTCTTTAGATTCTGGTAAACAGCCAGTTCACCGCAGGCATCTTCGCAGAGACCTTTCGTGGTCTGAGAGGAGTCCAGACAGATGTCCTCTACCCGTCCCTCAACACGCGTACCTTTGACCAGCAGTCCAGTGAAGCACAAGGCCTGGAAGGGCTGCTCCCTGAGGGAACCTCGTGCCTATTTCTCTCTCTCAACCGATACGAGAGGAAGAAGAATCTGGGGCTGGCTCTCCAGGCTTTTGCGTCCCTGAAGAGCAGCCTTCCTCCGGGCCAGAGTGCAGGTATCCACCTGGTGGTGGCGGGGGGCTACGATGACAGAGTTACCGAGAACGTTCAGCATTATGCTGAACTGAGAAAGCTTGCAGCACAGCTCGACCTGGAAGACGTTGTCACTTTCCTGCGCTCCCCCTCTGATTCGCTGAAGGTGGCGCTGCTGCGGGGCAGCGCGGCCGTTCTGTACACCCCGAGCAGAGAGCATTTCGGAATAGTTCCCGTCGAGGCCATGTATTGCCGCTGCCCCGTTATCGCGGTGAACTCCGGGGGACCCCTGGAGAGCGTGGCAGACGGAGAGACGGGCTTCCTGTGCGAGCCCACGGCGGAGGCCTTCTCTAAGGCCATGGAGAGGCTGGCGAGGGAGCCGCAGCTCCGCGGGGACATGGGACAAGCTGGGAGACGGAGGGTTCAAGATAAATTCTCTCTCCGGGCCTTCTCGAACCAGCTGCACGGGTACATTGTCAAGCTGAGCCAATGATGTGAAAGCTGGAAGAGGAGCGGGAAGCCGTTGGAAATACCATCCTCCATGGAATTGTTGAAGACAAGGGTCTTCAGTGAGGAGAAGAGGACGTCTCCTTGAAGAGAACGTATGTGTGAATGTGCAGGAGGCGGGTGGGTGAACGGGTTGGGGGTTGGTGGAGGGGGAGGGGGAGTGGTTGGTATTCCGAAGACTCCGAGGACAATCAATCAGCATTCCCCTGGAGGGGTTGCTGAGAGGGGAAAAAAGGACGGAATCTCTATACCAATTAAGACAAGAGTAACGAGTTTACCTACCCCATCTCCGGAAAGAAATTCCACACCGCCAAGTGTGTCCGTGGTTGTGTGGGTGTAGTTGTACGTGTGTAAAAAGCAGCAAATGAGCGTACCAAAAAGATAGATTTATTGAAATGTTTTGAACTGTTTCTGTTTTGTCTCATGCTACGGTGAGCTTTTGGGTAACAACGAAGAAAGAGAAGGTTGTTACCACCACCACGTGCCATCAGGCAGTGCACCACCCCAGATGAATAAACAGGATGCTTTCCACCACTTCCTGTCCACCCTGAGCCTCCCATTCAGAGGACTGGCTGGCCTGTTCATGACTCTGGCTGCTGTGAGGTTATTAGCAGATGATAGAGAGTGTTTGGCGTTATTAGAGGTCTGGTTGATGGGCTAGTGTGGCTTTGTCTGGGTCATTATCATCGAGGAGAATAGTAGAAGGTCAATGTGTCTGCGGGCTGGCCTCCTCAGCCCTCCTGCTGTGTAGAAACAGCTCTTATTGACATTCCTGAAGTCTTAATAAACAAGAGGATACATACTTTTCTGGCTCTAATGGTTTTTTTGGGGGGTTTCCTAAAGGATTTTTTGGGGTCAGCAGAGAAAGGTTGTCAATGTTGTGTCATTCTTTTTTCTTTTCATTGAACATATTTGGTCGTGACATGAAACATTCTCAGACAACGTTGAAGCCAGAGACTTTTATTTATTTTTATTTTGTTCTTTGTCAAAGTCAGTGAGAAGATCTTAAATATCTGTCTCCATCCGTCGTTGCAATGTCAATTCCAAGGTTTGAGTTGTATCCACACGCGCGTCATAAAGAGTAACTAAATAATTCTAAGAAAGACTGAGTGTTTAAATTAGATGTATAACGTAAAGCGTTATTGAAGCAACCTGTTTGCAGACAGCGTGGCCGTATTGAACAAATGTGGCAAAAGGCTCACTGTTGAACTTGAATCCGGTTGTAAGTGAACTCCTGGCGCAGAAACGTCTCGTCATCACCTCCTGAGGAGATGGAGGCAGGTTGTGTTTTTTCTTCCTGGAGACACTTTGATCTCCGTAAAGAGCTGTTCACTTATTCATTTGACCCAAAGTTGACTCAATATGGAAAAACATCCACTTGCTTCATGGTGAGGAATTCCTCATGTTGATAATCGTACATAATTACACATTAAATTAGAGCTAATAGAGTTTTCCAGGCTGTTTTACCCCAAAGACTTGAACATGTTCATATCTGGATAAATTAGCTGTCGCCATTTCATCTGACGTGAATTATTGGGACGCTGAAGCCAGGTTGTGTAGTTGAAAACACCTTTAATAGTGGCAGATTGCCTTGACTGTTACTATAAAGCTGCCTGGTATGTTACCAATTAACCTAATATGTGCTCTATTATTTGATCAGGTTGAGGGTTGAGACACTAATGTCAATCATTTAAAAATGAATTATTCTGATATTTGCTTCAGTTTGTTTAGGATATGTAGTTAACCTGAGATTTTTATTCTCATTGATTCAGACATTTCCTCAGAGTCGATTTTCAAAAGCTCAAACGCAAGGAGAAGCAACGGCGATGCTGCTTGTTTTTCAGAGCTGAAAACCGATCGTCCCTATAGATCCAATTAGTGCAGGTGGCCTCGGTTTGGTTTGGACCAGATATCAAGGTCCAGTATTTGGAACATCACAGTGATCGGCTCATGTCAATTATTGGTAGTGATCCTACATTTTGGGATTTGAGCAGATATAATGAGTAAAGAAAACAAAACAATACACACCCTCTGAAATACTGCTTGGCCAATATTTGTTGACAATCCATCACATACAGTAGATAAATAAAATTGAACTTTAGATAGGTATTAGCCATTTTAAAGAAAACCTCAAACTTCATGACGTAGAATATATATTATACATTTTTGGACACTATAAAATGGTTAAATGTTAAAACTGTGTGTTAGTGTAACGTGTGTGTGTGTGTGTGTGTGCGTGCGTGTGTTCAAGCAGTGTTTCCACATGCAGGCGTATTAAGAATAGATAATGAGGAGGGTGTAGCTGCAGTGATTTAGGGTCCCTGCCAGGCGAGATGATAAAAGGGGCCCGTGGAGCCTCCATGGGAGGGAAAGACCCACAAACAGAGTAATTCAGTGTATATGTGTCCCACTTTACAGCCTCCACAGAAAGGCCGCATCTTTAATCTCTTTTCTTCCCCACTCGTAAACTGTCTTTTACCTCAAAGTTGTGTGAGCAGAATCGATGTGCCTTCCTTTACTCCCCCCACTCCTCCCCCTGCCCAGTGCCCCGGGGTGCGGTAGTTATTGAGATCACGGTGCGTCTGAGTGGCAGTGATAACCGGTACCCAGGTGCCACTGGCACATGGCGTTTAATTAATTAATGAGACCGCAGGGTTGGTTTTCTAATTCCACCCAGGCAGCACCGGGGTGTGTGGGGGGGTCGGGGGGGGGAGATAGCCACCCAATGTTTAGGTGTGTGTTTCCAGGCGAGGAAAGAAGAGATGTATGTGTGTGCGTTTCGTGGATGCATATCTATTTCGTTGGCAGTTTGGGAGCTGGTTTCCTTATTAGAGGAATATTAGATATGTCTGGAATATTTTTACTCTGACTTTTAATCACACGTATGATGAGTTAATCATGGGCTAAGTGCAGCCGGTGATGAAATACACATTTAGAGTAAATACATCAATCTGAACCAGGTCATGGACTCATTGCCCCAAAACAGGCACAAATGTGCACTAGATTTAAAAATAATGCAACACCGGTATGATGTTTAGAGGTGTGCGAGGTGTGTGTGTGTGTGTGTGTGTGTGGAGGGTGGTGGGGGGGGGGGGGGTTACGCAGGTTTGAATGTAATGATGATTTGATGAGTTAATATTGGTAGAACTGAATTAAACAAAAAAAGAAAAGTTTAGATTATCAATAGGGATCTTGAAACAAATCCATTTCTCTAAAAATTAGTTCAAGACACTGACGGTTATTAGTAAGAAATGGAGTAGTTCACTTTTATATCACTTAAATTTACCGAGACACAAGTCTGTGTGCAGACTAATAATACCGCACATTTCCATGTTTTATTTAGTGTTTTCTGTTATATTGTCTTATTCAGGATGGTGTCTTAGGTTGTTTCTGTCCATTGATTTAATTTCAAAATAGTTTTAGGCTTCCACAAAACATAAATAATCTGTAGGTTTATTATCAAAGTCAAACAAATAAAAGAAGATTAGAAAAAAGCAAATATTTTCCCATTTTGCAGTTTTACTGCTGGACGAATGCTTAAAAAAATGAGAAATCTGCTTTGTATTCATAGCTCATCTTTAAGAGGTCTTTATATGTTAGCAAATTATGTATTTTGCTCTTTACTGTCTCCATAAACTATTAAAATATATTAGCTTGCACCTCATAAATGTTACCACGGCACAACTCTTACTCACACTGGTAAAACATCAAGAGGAACTGATATCACAGGGGAAAGGAATGATTTACTAAAGTTACATAAAACTCTTCTTTCTGTGGCAGATTACAATAAAACTTCTATATAATCTCTAATAGTGGAATATTATACATAGGCTCTATAAAAACATCTTTATGGCTCAGGAAAGAGAAGCATTACGGCTTGTTCCCTGTTCGTTACGGTTTAAACGGTTTAAAGATAAATGAGTCCATATATTTCACACATCAGACGTCATCTAATTCACTGGAGGTTTGTCCATAAAAATGAGTCTTGTTTCAGATTTTAGGTTGTGAGGAAGCGTCCACTAGTAGCGAAGAGATGCAGTCCGATAAGAAACAATACAAAAAATAAAACAATTTGTTGCACACTTTAAACCTGTTGATTACACAGTAATACGATGATCTTCGTATGTATAACAACGTTTTTATTTTCACTTTTATTTCATCTCAAATTAGCTCATTCCCAAAAATGTTGGACTATCCATCTGTTGAATACCCTGTAATATTAATACAGACAGTATGTTGTGATCTTTCTGCTTTCATTCATCTGCCAACTTTATGTATAGTATTATTACATTACAAGTCATTTAGCTGATGCTTTTATCCAAAGCGACTTACATCACATTTTTAATCCATGGCTTTTTTACATTTCGCCCAGGGAGCAATTAGGGGTTAGGTGTCTTGCTCAGGGACACTTCAACATGGGACATGGAGCAGCCGGGGCTCAAACCGACAACCATGCGGTTCTCCGGCACACCCTGTCTACCCACGCGCCACCGTCGACCCCCCGTCGACCCCCCGTCGAGGATATATGTCCTAAAACAAACATATTATGCACACACAGATATCCTGGTGTCCTGGTTGCTCTTCCTGGAGCAGCAGGGTGTCGCAGGGGGAGGAGGGGGGAGAAAATGGAAGCGCAGGGACAACAGAGACAACAGGAGAACAGACCTCCCATTGAACTTGGCTTGCTTCCAGCTCTCACTCAGCCAGCAAGCAGCTGTGAATCAGTCGCTTGCTTATGCACAAAAACGCTGCCATTACATTAAACACACACTCGATCAGGCGCCCCAGTCCCATACCCAGGTCCAGTCCCAGTCTCATGCCCAGGCCCAGTCCCAGTCCCAGTCCCAGTCCCAGTCCCATACCCAGGTCCAGTCCCAGTCTCATGCCCAGTCCCAGTCCCAGTTCCATACCCAGGTCCAGTCCCAGTCTCATGCCCAGGCCCAGTCCCAGTCCCAGTCCCAGTCCCATACCCAGGTCCAGTCCCAGTCTCATGCCCAGGCCCAGTCCCAGTTCCATACCCAGGTCCAGTCCCAGTCTCATGCCCAGTCCCAGTCCCATACCCAGGTCCAGTCCCAGTCTCATGCCCAGGCCCAGTCCCAGTTCCATACCCAGGTCCAGTCCCAGTCTCATGCCCAGGCCCAGTCCCAGTCCCAGTCCCAGTCTCATACCCAGGTTCAGTCCCCGGCCCCGTCCAAGACCCAGGTCCAGATTCAGACGCGGGCTAACAGCATGGGAAAGTCCTCCTCCAGTATCAGCTCTCCCATTTACCCCCTGGTCTCCTCTGTCGGCGCTGCGCTCTTACCTGCAGGGCTTTTCGTTCCTGATTCTCCTACTTTTTCTCTTTTTAGTTTCTTGACAGACGTTGGCCTGGGGGGGTTGCGTTTGGTGAAGCTCTGGTGGGAACCAGCGTAGGGTGACCGCAGGAAGGGGGTCTTCCATGAGGATGTTGGGAGGATCCTGGTGGATGACAGTACTGTTTGTGCAGGCAGATGTACAGAGACAGAGAGAGCCTGGCTTGGGAACACCCTGATCGAGGGGTACCGTCGGCCCGTCTGAGGCCCAGAAGGAACTCGCGCATCTCGCCGGCGGTCACGAATCCGCGGCGCTGTGCGGGAGAAGCCCGAGCGGGCCCCCGCACAGCGAGGGAAGATGACCTCCGGTGATAACGCTCACAGGGGTGAATGTCAATCACGCTGCCTGCACGAATGTGTGTGCGCGTGTCTGCATGTGTGAAACAATGCTCCACGATTGTTGATGCAAGTATGTTTTGTGTACAATGCATTCTTAGTGTGTGTGTGTGTGTGT